ATTCCTGTCAGAGTCAGGATTTTCAGTATCTATTATCTCCACCTCTGGAATTTATCCAAAAGCTATTTCAGAGGCAGAGCCCAGGAAACAGAAGCTAACTCGACTGCATAAGCTGGAACCAGAGTGCTTAGCCTCCTTTCCTCCTCACCTCAGCAGATCTACAAGCCGACAGACTGAAAATGAAAAGAACAGCCAAGGTTAACCCACCACAGCCTAAGGACCAAACTCACCCAGCTGCTCATTCACTTTCCATCCTCAACAAGACAGGGTGGAAACAGGATGAGAAAGCTCATGGGTTGCAATGAAGTGTCCTGGTTTGAGCTAGAACAGAACTAATTCTGTTCAGTGATTTCACGTTTCAGCTCAGTCGCTTCTAACAGCATACACTCACAGTGTCTGCTCCTTCATTTAGTCTGGCCATGATGCACAACTGCTGTGCAAAGTCAGGAAGACACTGATCTTTTATTCCTTACTCTGAAACTATAGTGAACTTGAATAAACAACACATATGCATTAAAACTAAAAACTAATGCAAGCCTGAAATACTGCAACAACTTAAAACATAGCAGTTCTATAGAAGATCATTTTCCAAGCTCATCAAAGTGTTAAAATTTCTAAATGATGATTACAGAGGATAACATAAAAAAAAGTACTTCTTTACTATAAAGCAGACTCTGGCATAGATTGCCCAGAGAGGCTGAGGATGCTCCCTCCCTGGAGATGTTCAAGGCCAGGTTGGATGAGGCCTTGAGCAACCTAGTCCAGTTGAGAAGCATCCCTGCCCACGGCAGGGCGGCTGGATTAGATGATTTCTAGGGTCCCCTTCCAACCTAAGCCATTCTGTGATTCTATATGATCCTATTTGCTTTGACAAAGTAATCTGGTTTAAATTAATTATATAGAAGATAGTGTGTGTTCATAAGAAAAAGTTGCAATTTTTCCTTAAACTGAAGTCAGGTAGCTAGTCATTACAGTTCCAGCATTTTTTTAGACTTCTCAGCTACTCACACAACAGGCAAATTCCAGAAATTTCTCAAAAGCATTTTAAATAGCCGCAATTCTATAGAATATATTAATTGTTTTTAAAACCCACACAAGTGTTACCAGCTTTCAGCAAGAGCACTATGCATCAATGGAAGTAAGGATGTCTCTAGTTGAAGTTGTATTAAAGAGTTCCAATGCAAATGTTCACAGAGGAATATCACAATTTCACTGTACATTAAATAATTCCAAAGACTCCACTTAGATTCAAAATTACCAAATTAGAAAATTAGCATACTGGCAGCTTCGTAGAACGATGTAGTTTTACATCACACTGTTTGTTTACTAAACATGCATGGTCAACCTTGATATTAATGTGACATAGCAACATAAGGCTTTGAAAACATTTTTAAAAAGCAATCCAAACTGCCTTCGTGCTAGTATTTTCTAGGACTACCACTCCGTGCATTACACACCAACACCAACTTTTAAACCCTGTGAAGAGTCTAATATTGTAAAACTAGCAAAGTGATCACTGAATTAGCAACAGAAGAACAATCTCATACATTATTTACCACAGTTGTCCCGACTAAATTTGGTACCTCCAACACTGATACAACTATTTTTTGCCTGACATGTTCCGACTTATCCTCATTAAATTTCTGACAAACAAACAAAAACCAAAAAATAACCACTAATCAGTGTTGCAAAATGTTGTGAGAGAAAAGACTGATACAAAAATTAAAAACAGTTCTGTGTATGGGGTTAACATTTAAAATTAAAGTTCATGTTACCCTCTCTGAGGGAAACAATTTTAAAATCCTCTAGAGGAAATATTTTTATAATGCATATCACATGCTAAATTCCATTTAAAATTCATGAACTCTCAGCTCATATTGAATTATTTTTAGTGCTGCCAGCACTTGTGACAGGGTTTCTGGTATTCTCCAGATAGAAACAGATAAACTTAAAAATTCAAAAGGCTACTGTCCAAGAGTATCACTAAACAATGCCACAAAAGTTGTAAAACATCAGACTTGGTCAAACTTACCGCCAGTGCTTTAGATAATTTTGTTCTATAGTTATTCAAAACAATGGCATCGATGTCCTTAAGTGGCACATACGCCAAGCCATCTTTAATAAATACTCTTCTGGCTCTAAATAGATCCACAGCATCAGCAAGTCCAACCTGGGAAAAAAGAAAAACCCATCTTGTGAAGTAGCAAAATAATGCAGTAACAATGTTTACAACCCAAAGATGCAAGATGTGCCAGTAAAGCTTAAAGTCATTCTCCACCTTTTAACAAAGCTCTACCCAGGCAAAACAGAAAGATTTTGAAATTAAATGCTGACTTTGGAACAGCTGATCATCATTTTGGTGGAAAAATATTACTTACTTACGAAAAGTCAGGCAACTAGACAAAATAAGCTACTTTAAAGTCCGTATCTATAATTATTAGCCCAATTATGTAGCTTTGCATCAGTGACTGGTCTGATATTTGAAAATGGACTTATGTGGGCCTTCTGTTTCAGCTATCTTGAAATATTTAGTTTCTGTAAACTACAGATTAGCTGTAGCTTTTATTAGCTACAGTTTATGTAAGCTACAGGTTTGAGAAACAGAACTGGAACCCAAACAACTTTGCTCCAAAGAAAAATCGTTGGGTAAGATACTTTCCTCTCCCCTTGCTTTCCTGCAAAATGAATTTCAGACTAATACAAACAGATCAAAACTAGTCTGAGCAACAGATGTTTGAGAATGTCTCCATCCTGAATGGACTGTCAGCCAGGCAAGGTAAGTCATTTGTCTGGGAAATGTTAAAGCTTAAGACCGTTTTTGTGGCAAAAGATAAGGGATGACAGAAGAGGATAGAACACATTAAGAGCAGTTTAAAGCTCCCTTTATTTTTCCAGTCCCTCCCTCTACCCTCATACTGACATTAGGAAGAGGAACTTCCATTACTCTCAGTTAGATACTTCACGTAACTGTTAGCAATAGTATTATGTAAACTTAAAATTAGTAAAACTAAGTTTAACTGAAGGAGAATAAACACAAATCTGTGGAATTCAGCAATTTCTATTTACCTTGTAGAACATTTGTTCTTTTACTTTAATCACACTGAAGCCAGGGGTTGATGCAACCAGCTCATTTGCCAATTCATTTTTCAGGTCTTCGCTAACCTAAAATTAAGAGATGATTTTAAAACTGCTGAAATACTTTAGAACAAGGCTTTTTTTTAATCAATATGAGCTAGAGAATTACTTAACCTGTAAATGTATCATCACTTTAATTGACAAGGAAAAAGAATTACATATTCAGCAAGTGATGACTAATAATGAATTACGCAGAAACCAACAGAACACTAGTGGTCAATAGTGTTAAGTAACCTTCCTTCTGAAGTAGTAGTGCAGATTTTAAAACATAATAATTTTAAACATTTAAAAAGCATGTTGTACAGATCTTGTGTTAAAGCCAACCTCTTGTGACAACCACTGTTCATACCTAGATTTACAGTATGCATTAAAACAAAGCATGATGACTCATTGGCAACTGGAAAGGATTTAAACAACTTTGTCAGATTTTTGACAAAAACATGAGTTTCAGGTAATTTTTAAATCCAGACTTTATAAAAGAGACATTGTCTTATATTCATGGATTTACCTCTCTTCCCTTTTGTTTTTTAAGGAGCAAGAACAACAGTACACTTGTCATTCTTTAAATGGCAGTGCTTTTCCAGTTTTTCAAACAGGTAAGTTAAATAGTAATGTTCTAATTTAACAACTTTAAAGTATGCAAGCCAAAATTTCTAGCTATCTATCATGGACAATGTTAGACTTCCTAATATAAAAACTAAAATGCTGCATATACATTAATATATATATTATGCTTTTTGATTATTTAATACACCAAATATAGCAGGTAAGCCACACTTAAAATTAGTATATTGTCATCATTTTACTAGTCAATAAATAATTTTTGGGTTGTATTCAACAGAAAACAATTAACAAAAAGATCTGAAATCAAATTGTTATACTCTAATTCATTATTAAGCTCCGTCTCTAAAACAAATAATAAATTTTATTAAAATTAAATAATAAATGTAAATCACTCTGATAGAACATACATGCTATGCAATGTATACCCAGCAATGATACCTAATTAACTTGACTACCTGCAGTAGTCTTACTTGAACAATATGTTCTTGATAAAGTATAATGGAAGTAATCCCTGACTGAAAGGGATTAAATGTTCAGGAAGATACAATACCTTCCCAAAACAGACACAGATGTCATCAAAGTATAACACATTGTGTGACACTGCTCTACATCCTAATTTGTTGATGCAGTTAAAAGGGAATGCAAACTTTCTTTTTTCCCCTTCTCCTTCTCAGCTGGAAAACTGGGAAAATGAAACAAAACAGAATACTTCTTTTGGAATTCAAAGGGAAGACCCTTTCATTGGAAGAGCAGCTCAGCGAATCCCCCCTATGAAAGTGATTTGAAAGATGCATATGAAATGGGCAAGGCAGCGATTCCTGGAAGGCTTATAGTTACTCTGTCTGCACCTTGATGTCATCTGTAGAACTCTCTCAGGAAAACCAGCTTTTAAAAGTAATAATAAAGCTGCCAGCAAGGCAGAAGAATATGACTTCGAAGACAGAAGAAATACACAGTAGCATTATATTTCTGCATATGAAAAATCTAATGCTCAGGGAAAAACAGCCTGTAAGGAAATCATTTTTCTTTAACCAAATAACCATATCAAAACAATTAAATGGGTTTCTCTAAATGATGAGAAAACAGTTTCTATAAAACACTCTCACTAACAATCTTACTCTTGTTCGTCCAAAAGATTCCCACTTCTCAAATGTGACACCCTTGAACTATATACAAATTTTACAGTGCTACCAAAAACCCATTACTCCTTTCTGTATCTCGTTTAAATAGATATCAGGCTGAGTCACCACATCAGCCTGCAAGAATGCCTTTCACCTAGTATTGATCAAAGTTTTAAATTTAGTTCCAGAAGAGTGACTTCATTTTTCAAATAGAAGAACTTGATGCTTTCCCGGTAGAAGTTGCTTGAGAGCTCAGTCTACGATGTCATTCCAAACCCTTGGTGAAACTATCTTTAAATGAAAACAGCAGAACATATTGTAAAGCTACTGTGGTTACAATTGCAGTTTCTTCTAGGGTACCTAAGTAAAAAAAAACAAAAAAAAATAAAAAATCAAACCAAGCCAAGAATAGGTTTGGTTTGGTTTTTTTTGTTTTGTTGTTTTTTGTGGGTTTTTTTTGTTTGTGTTTTTTTTTTTTTTTTTTACAGAAAAGCATTAAAACAGTGCAATAACTGCTTTACAGACAGGCTTGCAAGATTGGGGAAATAATTAGAAGAGGTAAAAAAAAAAGGATTCCTTGCTTATTTGTTTTTCAAAAAACAATTAGCTCATTTTCATCAATAAGACCATTTTATTCAGTATTACATTTAATTTCAAGGGGTTTTTTATCTTTTAATATACACAAAAAAACAATTATACTGACTGAAAACTTCACAAGCTGTCTAAATTCTTCTTTATTAGTAATCGGATCATATCAATCTTATACAGCTGTGAAGTGTCAGTTATTTTAGATTTTCTTGCATCTCACTCGCAACAAAACCTAATCGCTGGGGTAAAAGCAATCCTGGTGGAAACCTCCAGAAAAATAAATCAATGTATTTCAGTCCATGACGGAAGATTTAGATAAGACTGTGGACAGTGTTAGTAAACACATAGTTTTATCAGAAAATGTGTCTTTTAAACAAACACAACTATTACTTCAAAACAGTGTTTATAGCATAAATTTTTAAAAAAATACTTAGAAAGCTGTCAAATTTACTTCTTACAGCCTCAAGTACCTTATAGGCTAGGTAAACTTCCAGCAGCCATACAAACACTTTGCTCCTTGCCTTTTCACTGAATTCACACTGTAAGCTCCTTATAGTCTAAACTCAGACTCAGGCTCTCAGGGCATGCCTGTACCTCTCCAGAGAGAGCATCACGAAGCATGTATCCCAGTTTTGATTGGTTCATGGAAACTGGAGAAGCTTTTTTTTTTTTTTAATTATTATTTTAACAAGAGCATTATGGTTTGCACATTTAATGATTTCATCTCTAAAATGGCACCTGCAAGAACACATTCCGGTAATCGCTAAAAAATTAGACACAATTAAATACAGCTTTTAGAATTCTCATCAAGATCAGAAAGATAAACAGACTGCTTAACTTTTGACAGCGCTTAATGATAATCTCCACGAGAAATGCTGTTATGTTCAAAAGATTTTTAATTACTTTTTTTTTAAATCAACAGAATTCTGAGTGTCATCTGGTGTTCATCTGACCCTCCACACTGAACTGACTTAATTCACTCCACAGAACGTAATTCACTAGTTTTGCTGGCTAGTTTGTTGACAGTTTAATAAACAAACAAGCTTATCAGCTAGTCAGGCTTTGGTTTGCACAAGCAAAGAACAGTAAAACCAGGAAAAGAATCTTCCCTTTTCAGTGACACTGAGTGACCTATTGGAGCTTGAAACAAGTCAACACTTCTTCATGAGTTTTTGAGACAGAAAGATTAGAAAAATCAAGAAATAAAAAGGGAAGGCATGAGAGGAAAGGAAGGAAGCAAGGATTTGGGACAAGCTGCATTATTTCTAGTGTTCTTGCTTTCTACGTGCAGTTTATTCATTGATTTTAAAACACAGAATTGTCCTGGAAACACAAAGACACATAAATTTAGATTAAAATATGAATAATTTAATATGTAAGGCTTGGTTAAACAAACATTGGCAGTAAGGCAGTGCAAAAACTTCAAAATAAACTTGATATCCCTGCTCTGTTTTAATGAAGAGGTAAAGATGCATGCACACATTATACTACTGTACATGCACGACTACTTAATTTTGCTGTTTCTAGATCTCCCAGTAAGGAACAAAAACTCAGTGCAGAAGTCCTTTCCTTTTCCAACACTCAGCTTCAGGCATTTACATGCACATGTCACTGGTGTCCTTCAAAAATGAACTTTTAAAATCTTTCTTTTATCATAGAATCATATAATGTTTGGGTTGGAAGGGACCTCCAAATGTCATCTAGTCCAAACCCCTGTTATAATCAGGGACATCAACTAGGTCAAGCTGCTCAGAACCTCATCAAGCCTGACCTTGAATGTCTCCACCACCTCTCTGGGCAACCTACCCATAGAATGGCTGGGTTGGAAGGGACCTTAAAGATCACCAAGTTCCAACCCCACTGCCATGGCCAGGGACACCTCCCACTAGATCAAGTTGCTCAAAGCCCCATCCAGACTGTCTTGAACACATTCAGTGATGGAGCATCAACAACTTCCCTGGGCAACCTGTTCCAGTGTCTCACCACCCTCACAGTGAAGGACTTCTTCCTAATTTCTAATCTAAATCTATTCTCTTTACATTTGAAGCCATTACCCCTCACCCTATCACTACAAGCTCTTGTAAAAAGTCCCTCTCCAGCTTTCTTGTAGGCCTCCTTCAGATACTGGAAGGCCACAATAAGGTCTCCCCACAGCATTAAGTCTTTAGTCACTGAATAGCTGGTACTCAAATGGCACAACCATCTTCTCAAAGAGAAATGGCATCAGACTGTCAATACTGCACTACTTTGCAATTTCAAGTATGAAACAGACAAAACAATCATTTTCTAGTCAATCTTCTCCATTGCCACACATCACAGTACAAACTAAGCTACAACTAGAAAGCAAAGCTATTCACCTAGATACCACTAATTTCAGGAATATAAATTTAGAGTGTATTCAGCCAGTTAATAAATACTAACTTAATTAGGAAAGAACATCATTCTCAGCTGTCCAACCAATTAAAAGCACTAAAAATGTTTCAATAAAACATTCCAGAGGCTAACAATAACAACAATCAATCCCGATGCATTTCTTAAGAGACAACAATCCCATTTTGGCTAAGCACAAATGACTTAAAAAGAAAATTGTGTTTTCCGTGTTACTAAAACTTACTGGTTTAGCTCTAGTTCAGGTTGTGGGCATCCATAAAAATATAAAGTGTTGCACTTGGAATTACTAGGTATTCTCATCCATTAGCTGAAATCTTGTCTGGGTATTTTTTTCAAGTCAGGAGTGGGCATGGGAAGGACATT